TTTTTTTGTATAAACCACAACGTTTAGCTGGCATTTAAAAATTCAACGTCGTATTTGACATTTCCAACGTTTGTATAACTTTTGAAACCGACGTCATTAAAGGTTGTTTTAACGTTGGTTTGTCCACTGTGTATAAATATTATAAAATATAATAAGTAAGTTATAATAAATATAACTTACTTATGATATTTTGAAACATATTATAATATGATACTGTAGGAGATTAGAAAATAAATAGGAACAAAGTTAACTACAAGTTAGAAAGTTGTTTGTTAACGCAAAATATTTTCAATAAATGCAACCCAACATTCGTAAGATGCTAACGTTTATCAACATTAATTATTATTGGACGTTTAAAAATGGGTAATATTAGTGGTTTGTTTTTACTCTAATTCATTTATATTTTTCTAACCTTTTATCTACATTCTGGTAACTTTTCATCTACATTTTCCTAATTTTCCATTTATATTTTACTAACTTTTTGTCAGCATTTTACTAATTTTTCATATACCAGTTCATTTACATTTTTAACTTTTTTTTACTTTTCATTTAACTTTAGATCTTCATTGTCAAATCACTGTCTTAATAGCTATGAGTTTACTATCTTCCAACTTATTTAGCAAGCGCTTCTTGTGGCCATATTGCTGTTTTTATTGTTACAGTTATTGTATTAAAGTATTATAATGCAATATTCTTTTCATTATTAATTATTTAGTAGTTAGCTAGAAAAAATTAATTTTTAATTTTGACTATTACTTTCACTTTTGACATGTTTTTCTGGAACCTGTTTGACATTTTTCTACGTCCTCTTTTACCTGGTTCTATCCTCTTTTTTATTAAAAAATCTGTCTGGGAAAGTTTCCTCAATAAGCCACAAATGTCCGGTTTTTTTTGAAACTCAACTAAAATACTTTTAAGCCAATTATCAAGGATAATAGAAAAAAAAAATTGTTTTATTGAAAACTAAATCAATATTGAAAAATCAGATTGGGATAGACCAAGAGTGTGATTTATGACAGATTTTTTTGATTTATGACTTGTATGACATTTGAGTTGTTAATGTCATGTTTTGCTAGAGCAATTGACGATTTTTTTTGCTGAACTTTTGATTTGATGCTTTTTTCCAAGAATCGAAACATTAGCTGTCATAAAGTTTGAACCACGTATTTAATATCTTCCTAATAAGAAATATTTTGAAATTTATGATTCCATGTTGTTTGAACATTGTTGAACAGTTTCAGAACTCCGTAAAAAATCAGCTAAAAGTGGATGAAAACCAATTTTATAACAACTCGCTGTCTCATAAAAAATGGGCCAAATATTTTGAAAATTGCAGAATTTGCAGACTGCAGAATTTTCCTTTGCTGCAGAATATTAAAAGTTCTCAACTTTTTTGTCACATATTGGTATTGTAAAACGCATTTTATTTTTGATGTAACAATAGTAAAAAGAAAGAGACAATTTACTAATTAACTCAGTGAATGCTAAATTCTGCAATTCAATCATAACCACCATTCAAATAGACCATAACATGAAATGATTAAGAATGATGCGGCGTTCTTTAGAAAGATAGAAAGCTCTACTAAATATGACTATTCCCAAAGTGAACAAAAATATTTTTCAATGTGGTTCACTGAATAAAAATGTATATCATTAACTTTATTTTAAAGTTTAATTTACGAAATATATATCAATATATATACGAAATATATATCAAGCTGATTATTTTAGTATCGACAAGAAATACAGACATTCTTTTAATTAGGTATTAAAAAACAACGTAAAAATGACATAACTATAAACAATATAACCATCATAAAAGTTAGATTGTAGCTATAATAAAATAGATATAAGAAAAATTTATAAAAATATGATGGACCTAAATATTGGTTTAGAACCTGGACCTGGTGCTACAAAAAATTCTTAATTAAGTAGTGATTATCTTCACCAAATAAATACAAAACTTGATACTGAACTCCTCACAGCAGAGCTTCCCTCTCAATCAGAAATTAATTTAAAAGAGGCAGCATAATTTGAAACTTATTTATTCCATACTGAGTTTCTTAGAAGTTGTTTAGAAATTTTGTCATCAAAAACCTTTGGAATGTATATTAAGTTTGGAAAGTTTAGGCTTCTCTCGAGCAAACATAAGGTTTTTTTAAATTGATTTCTTTGCCTATTGTTTTGAAATAGTGTTTGTTCTAAGCTTTAGCAAGTTAAATTTATATTTTGTTACCTTGTTACCTAGTTCGTCGCATTATTATTATTATTATTATTATTATTATTATTATTATTATTATTATTATTATTATTATTATTATTATTATTATTAATCAACCTCTGTAAATATGTTTACAATGTAAAAACAAAAAAAACAAAAATATTTTAACATAATAACCAAAATAAACAGTTTAAATTACTAGGGGAGACCGGGGCTAGTTGGCTCGGTTTTTACTCTATGAGCTCTGTAGCCCTAATAGCACACTTTTTTGAAAATATTAAAGTGTAGTCTCAAAGCGTATGAACTTGGGTAACTTATAAAAGTTTCATGGATTTACAAAAAAAAATTCTTGGGGCCTTACGGGGCCCTCAAAAAAAAAAAAAAAATTGCGCCAACTTACCCCACCACGGGGTAAGTTGACGCAAACTATAAACGTGATTATTAATGTACTATTAAGTGCAAAATTAATAGAAATTTTTTACCTATTAATTTTGGCAACAATTTAAGCTAATAATTTGATATTATTTTTAGCTTGTGCTAAATATTAGTACGTATAACAGCCAAAACAGCAGCCCTCTTTTTACCTGTTACAAAAAACCTAAAAAAAAAATTTTTATAATTTTTTTGTAAGAATAAGTTTTTTCAATATTGTTAAAAATTAAAAAAATTAAAAAAATTATTTTTATAAAAATAAATATTTTTCTCCATAGTAAATGCTATGAGCCAACTTACCCCGTAAAAATTTTGTCAACTTACCCCGAAGGCTTTTTTTTCAATAAACAGTCTATAGATCCTGAAAAACGGCAACTTTTAAAAAAAGTCAAACTGAATATAGTAAACCAATTGTGGCTAGAACTTTTACAATAATTTTTTTTCCATTTGACTAACTATTTTCTTTGTAAAGTAAAAAGGAAGCGATGTTTCAAAAGTTACGTTTTTGTCCAAAAAACACTTAAATCTTAATATCTCCCATGCGCATGCGCGAATCCTGACAATACTACATTGAATGATGAAACAGTCAATTAGGAAGATTCTGTGTAATTTTTATCACTTTCTGATGAAAGGCTTTAAAGATAAACGCAATTCGTCAACTTACCCCTGCGGCCAACTAGCCCCGGTCTCCCCTATTATATTCTTTAAAATGATATTAATCTGATGATTCAGTGCTGTGATGTTGATGGAGTTAAATTAGGCAAAATGTAAAGTTATGCATATTGGAAAAAACAATAACAACTTTAATTACAAAATAACAACAAAAGATGGTTCAGTCCACCTTATTGCATCGAGTTACTGTGAGAAAGACTTTATAATTATGTTGTCTAAGCATTTGAAATGGAAGGAACAGCTTCATTATACTATTGGTATTATGCTTAAATACATAAATGGTGAAAATTTTACATAAATTATTCCTCAGACCGATGTTGGAATATGCTCTAGCGTGGACTCCATATCTTGCTAGTAATATTAAAGAACTAAAAAATGTACAAAGACATGTGACAAAGTTATCACCATAATTACGTAAGTTACAGTACAAAAATAGACTTAATATATTTGGAGTTACAAAATTAGAGAAATGACGTAAAAGGAGTGATGCAATTCAAATGTATAAAATATTTAACATACTAAAAACATTGGGCCCACAACATTGAAATATTCGAAACAACATTTAAAACAACAATGTGTAACTTTTTCGCTACTTTTTTAATAATATTATTCTGATTTTTAAAGCTGTTTAAAATATGTTTTATTCAAAAATAAAATACAGTATTACATATTATGCAGAATTCATTTAAGGGTTCAAATGTGGCACTTTAGTAAGGTCAAGCTTTTTGAACCACCCCAATGTTCACAATTTAGTGCAAATATGAAAAGATAATTGAACTAGTAAGCGATCATCATATAAGACTTTCTTAAGTTTAAACCGTTTACTAATATATAAATTGTAAATACTAGTTGTTTAATTTTTTTGAATCTTGAATATTTTATACAGAGATAAAAGTAAAATACTTTTATTCTTTGATACTTTTATATTTTTATTCCTCGTTATCATGTACAGTGGCAATTCTACAAAGAAATTAAGGGGGAGGGGGTGAACTTTTAAAACCCTTTTTATGGAACAGACTGATTCCTTGAAAAAAATAATAAGTCAAACCTTATCACTCAACTAAAGTTCACTCTACTGAAATGTGTCAATTACCGGACTAACCGAGTATATTTCTCAAAAAACCAATTATAACTTGAAAATCACCTTCTTAGAGGAAGGGGGGGGGGTCATTTCCCCCTTCCTTCATAAAATTGCCTCTGTTTGTGTAAAACCTCGTTAAAAATGAAATTGTTGCCGAATTAACAACTCATTTTTGTTCTACAGGCTGCTATTTTTATTTGGGGTTGTATTCGTAAAAAGGTACCCTTATTGTAAGGTATTGTAAGTATTTTTTTGTGTGGATAATAAGGTGTTCACAGAAGCCCATACGGTTTTATCACAGAGTACCGTGGAAGAGCATTAAACTAGAAACTTCACGCCTCCTTCTTTACCAATTACGCTCATTGGGCTAGAACCGGCGTCGAACCTCAGACGTCTTAGTTCAGAGCCAGAACTCTAACCACTACGTCACGGCTGCAATTGGAGATGAAACACCTTTTTCGTTTCGCAAAAACACCTTTGCATGCCTGGAGCATGCATAATCCAGGCGCCGAAATAATACTTCACGGCTCTGTGGATATACTTTCAAGTGCAAAAATATCGTCTCTGTGAATATACTTTCAAGTGCGCAAAAGGTCAAGAAAAAAATATATTCTGTTATATTAATAAAACGTTACTCGAAATAAAGATCATGTGCATATAAGAAATAAATTATATCGTATATATATGATAATATATATGATAATATATTACAATATAAATGATAATATTATTATTACTAATTACTATAGTATTATAAACAAAAAATATTTATTTTTTAGCAAAGAAGTAAATTCTTATTCATATTTGCTTATACTTTTAATAAACATAAAACTTATTTATTATATAGTTAACATTTTTTATAATTAATCTTTTATTCTTTTGATGTAGCCGTCCCAATTAAATGTTCCATTATACCTAAACAAAATAAAAGTTCAGTAAACAAATATTTAAACTAATTGCACTAAAAAAATACTGTATCTACAAAACTATGCAAAACTTGACTGACTCTGGATAAAGTCTAGTAAGCGTGGTACAGTGCTTACGTAAGGTAACTCTTGGTAAGTGTGGTAAAATGCACAAACAAGACATGCTGACAATATATGGAGAATGGTGGTAATATGATAAAAATTGTAATAGATTATTAACTAATCATTTTTTTTAGTGCTGTTAATGACTTCGATTAAATCGACTAAAATTCAACTAGTCGAAAGTCAAAATTAGTCGACTTTGAAAAATCTAATAGTCAATTTAATCGACTATGGACAGACTAATCGACTAAAAGTCGAATAAAAATCTTAAAAGCCTAAATATCTATTTAATTTTACAATTTAACTTTCAATCTTTTATTTTTGTTTGTTCATTTCATAACAAAAAAATATATAGTTATAACTAATACCTAGTTTTTCGTTTACTCTCTTAAAGTTCTAATTCATTCATGAGCATTAATCATACCTAATTAAACGTTCAGTTATGTATTTAATAATTTTTTTTTTTTTTGTTTACTCAATGTTTGTGATTTTCGTTTCATACAGGGCCGTTTTAAGCTGGCTTGGGCATTGGAGCAAAACTAAATTGTGAAGATCCAAAATCTAAATGTTTTCTATACAATCACATTCTATACAATCACATTATAAATACCTTCTATACAATCACATTGTAAAAACCTTTTGATATTTAGCAAGTTATTAAGTCGGTCCGTTAACTAAATCATCAGAGTCTAGGAATAAACTATCCCTATTTTCTTTGTTTTGTTCCATTATTAGTTAAAGGATATGTTGATTATGATGTTAAAAAATAGAAAGTGAATATAAATTACTTTATTATTTTTATTACAATTATTTCAAATAAATAAATTATTTCCATATTTTGACTAAATCGACTTTTTGTCGACTAGTATGAATGTATTTGTCAATTTTAGTCGACTTTAGAAAATATATTATTCGATTTAGTCAACAGTCAAATTGTTTAATAGTAGTAACAACACTAACTTTTTTTTATTTAATACATTCATTGATTGAGATACGCTCAAGTGAGTTAACTAAAAGCAAATCTAACGCTTTCAGAAATGTGCCCAAATTAAGAGTTTTAGAAATGTGCCCAAATGAACAGATTGCTTTTTGATGTTTTGAGATAAAAAGTTAACCTTTCAATTGTTCTAAAATATTTATGCCAATTTACCATCATTAACATTATTTGGATATTCCAACTCGGTGTAATTAAAGCGATTTACAAATATTCGAATACTTTTATTTGGAATTAGCATGGTTTTGTCATCATATTATGGTCCAAACAAGGTCTTTAAACGCTATAATTTTTTTTGCTTAAGGTTTTTATTATATTTAAAGAAACTTTTCTTTTTTTTATATAGTTTTCAAAACCTTTTTACTACCCGTGTATTTAAAGAACACTATTTTGGAGTCTTTAGATCAATTCCTCTCATCGGCATTAGTATGAATTTATTTAAAATCTTTTGAAAAAGTTCCTTAATTTACTACTGATCCTAGTTCTAATCGGTTCTGACGTTATTAACTATATATAGTTGTCAAAACTCAATATTTCTATCAATTTTCACAAAAAATACTAGAATTCCGACCAAGAAAGAGCTTATAATTATAAAAAATTGCCAATAAACGATCGGAACAGATCATATTGTTAAACTATAATGTTCATTTCACCTAAAAAACGTATTAATATAAAATCTTATTCAAATTTAGACGAGCGATTGTGATTTTAAGAAGATTTAAAAAAAAAAATCATCGGTCTGGATTTTTTCGCAACAAACCTTTATATTTTATGATACCACAAAATTTATCATTTTAAGCTTTTTCATCTTTTCATAATTCACAGACCAGACAATTTAACGGAAAAATGTCGTAGTCAACAAAATATCATACAGACGCTCTAATATTTTAAGAGTAGGGTAGGGTGGGGCAAGAGGCCCAGGTGGGGTAAAAGCCCCATCCTGCAGTTATAAAGAACCTAGGTAAAATATTATAATTATTGTTTTGTAGTATGAATGATAAATGTGTAACAGTGTTGCGAGCGAATTTTGGTAAACTTTTAGTAGAAATATAATTTTTAACAGAATATTGAAGACTTGACAGGTAATAATTACAAATTAATAATAATAACAAACCGACCATTTTGGGGCAAAAAGCCCAGTTTGTTAATGGGGCAAACAGCCCATCCTGAGCTTTTTACCCCTTGCATTATTTAAGTAGAATGTTCAAATTTTAACTTTATTTTATTTATAGATATGGTTAGAAATTACAAAAGGAAGACAAAAAGAGGAAGTTATGGAGCAGAAGGTTTACAACGGGCTTTAGATTCAGTAAAAAAATGGTATGTTTTTGCGTAAAGCTGAAAACAGTTTTGGAGTTTCAAGGAAGACATTGAGAAGGCATTTGCAGGGCAAAGTAAGACAAGTTGGGAGCAATAAATTAGGAAATCATGTGAATACTTTTTCTATTGAAATTGAACAAGATCTTGTTAAACACATCCAAATGATGGAAAAAGCATTATTAGCTAGAAACGAAAAAAGTGAACCTACGAATACAAATGAAAAAGCCGGCAATGCGTTGGATGATGAAGCATCGGTTAATGTGATGGAGACTGATAGGATTGCAACAGGAGATAGCAATGAGTCCGATGAAAATCAACTAGATAAAACAGCTGATCATCCTGGCTTATCCGAAGCATTGCAGATTATATCAGAACTAAGCCCTATTCCAAGGATAAAGAATGTACGCAGTCGCAAACGAAAAACCGAAGCAGCAACTGTAATAACTTCTAGTCCTTATAAAGCAATGTTATTTGAAGCAAATGCAAAGAAGACAAAACAGAACAAGCAAGTAGTAGTTGAAAATAATAATGAGGAAAATGATGAAGACGAAATCGATGTAATCGCAGACAAATCCAAGAGAACGAAAAGTGGAGATGACAAAGAAACCGGGAAAAGGAAGCAATATGCGAGAACAAAATCAAAAAGGACAATCAAAAGTAACGCATCGAATGCTAAAGTGATAAGAAAAGGGTCAAAAGAACGAAGATATGTAGGTTCTGTTACTAACAGTGATGATACGCCATGTTGCATGTGTGGTAAAAGATTTAACGAACCACCCATTGATGACTGGCAGCAATGCCCAGAATGTCTCAACTGGTACCACGACGGCTGTGGTCCTGATGACACTGCTGTCTGCTTTCACTGCCAATAGGCATAATCAATTCAACTAGTCTTACTGTAGTTTTTTAGCTGTCTTTTTAGCTGTATGAATTAGTTTTTTAGCTGTCTTTTTGGGTTATGAATTATTTTTTTAGATATCTTTTTAGCTCTATGAATTAGTTTTTTTTAGCAACTTTTAAGCTCTATGAATTAGCTTTTAGCTGTGTTTTTCAGCTCTATAAATTAGTTTTTATAGCTATCTTTTTAGTCTATAAATTTTTAGCTCTTTTTAGCTCTATTTTACGGTGCTGTTTGCCATTGTCATATGATAGCATATATGGTGCTACTTGCTAATATTATGGTGCTAAGTGTTCTACTAAAACTTTTGTTGGACATTTTTACACACAAATATATTGTGACTAGTAAAAAGTGTATTGTTGCAATAAATTTTTATTGTAAAAAAGGAATATTTCAAGCTATTAACGTTTGGGGTAAAAGGCCCAGGGTAGGGGCGTTTTGCCCCAGCAATGGGGCAAAAGGCCCACTCTATAGCAGTTTATAAATAGCATATTTCCATTAAAACTTGAGTAGCCATTAAGAAAATAACTTTAGATACTTAAGTTTATTATGTATCTGAAATAATGGTAACATAAATTTCTAGATACGTTTATTGGATCAGTAAAAAGAAGACGAAATTGCTTATGGTGGGCTTCTTGCCCCACCTTACCCTACCTTAACTACAACGAGCATGGTTCAACTTTATATTTGGCTAATTGAATTCTCTCGCTATGAATAAACCGGAACATTTTAACTCATGTTTTCGTCGAGATTTTGAATTAAAGTTTGCTGCCACTTTTTTCTTTTACATTAAATTATTTAACAGTTTTTATTAAATATCAGTTTTTATTATATACCAAATTTGGCTTTGATTTGCACTTTTCTCTTTAAATTTGGCTTTGATTTGCACTTTCTTCACTTTATCTCTTAGCTTTTAATTGTTTAAATCTTTAAATTAACGGTTAAGGGTATGAATGTTATTATTTTATTGTCTTGAACTGTCATTATTTTTTTCCTTCAATGGTTTGTTTCCTTCTATAGTGCTGCTTTCTTTCAATGGTGTTGTTTCCTTCAATGGTGCTGCTTTCTTTCAATGGTTTCAATTAATTTAAAAATTGCATTAAATGCATTTTAATACCAAAATTAAAAATAAAAAAAAAACGAAAAAGAAATTTTCAATAAGCTGCAGTTTAATCTTAACTTAAATCTTTTGCACTTGAATCATGTATTGTACAGAATACAAAAGTAGCAATAATAAAACATCTATCAACATTTTTTTGGCCAAGAAACTTGATAAACTGCAGTGTTTAATAATTTTGACACAGTGACGATGATTAAAAACTCAAGAAATAATTATGTGAAAGTTTGTGGAAAGACAACAGAATTCTCAACTAAAATAAAACAAATTATTTAATTTTTTAGAAATTTATGAGGGACTTTAAAGTAGGAGGAGTTTTTTAAAGTAGGACGAGTTTTTTAAAGTAGGAGGAGTTTTTTAAAGTAGGACGAGTTTTTTAAAGTAGGAGGAGTTCTTTGCTTAAATAAAAAAATGACTGATACTCTTTTTTTATCTGTCCTGCAATTTTTTGATTTTTGCAAATTGTGTTATATGTTTAAAATATTTTTCTATAAGAAATAAGAGCGCTCAAACAACTTTTATATTAACGATATTTATTATTATATGTTTATTATATTTTTGGTTACTAAAGCTCATATTTTTAATATGGATTATTACTATAATAATTAATTGGTTTTCATTTAATATTATAAAGTATTATTACCCGTTATATCAGGTTTTCAAACATAACGCAAACATAACGCTAGATTTTGTGTTTATAACGAGTAATTACCATTATGTTCAATATGAATAAAACATAACAGATATTTATACATTGAACATAACGATAGTTACTAGGGGGTTGACTTTTTCACAACTATACTTGGGTATAGTGCCAAAAAATGACACTCTACATTAGATTACCAATTTTAAAAGTTCTATTGACTCAAGTTACAAAAACTTCCTCCGTTATTAGAAAAATATGTTTTTGTTTGAGAAATACATAAAAATCGACAAATAAGCAGATAAGTAACAATTTATTTTGACAAAAATAAACAAGATACAATTGAAAAGTTGTTTTGCAGAAGAAATCTGTAGTTCATTATGTCTATATCTCTTGCATAAATTTCTTGCATAACTTTTATGGCTCTTTCAGCACAAATATTGGATCTCTGAACTCCTTGTATTCTGCTGGGCTCCTCTGACTAAAATCTTCTCAAGGTCTTCATGGCTGAAGTTGAAGTTATTGCTTGTTTTAAATTTTAAAAATCATGTTCTGAGTATTGCATGTCAGAAAACCAAATATCAGACCAAGTTGATGCAATGAAGTCACAAATCAAGCGCAATTGGTTATTATCCGATTCAGTTAAAATAAAAGCCAGAAGGGCATAGATTGCTCGATGGGAGACTTTTGAAGTTTATAGCTTATATCGGTAACTTTGTGCCAAGTCGAACGAAAAATCCATGTCGTCTATCCATTTATTAGTCTTCACTTTACAAATTTCTTTACCTTGTTTGAAGCTTGATTTCAAATTTTCATAATTATTTTGCAGGTTTTCAATAAATTTGTAATATAATTCTGGCGATTTTGACACTCTTTCGTTAAGAACTTCATTCATAGCATGTTTCAAAATTGTTTCCAACACATGATGCTGACAAATAATAAATTGAAATGGTTCAAGATTTTTTTTTTCAAATTCTTTTTGCAGTTGAATTACAACTCCATTTCTACTCCCAGTATTCACACTTGTAGCATCTGATACTATAACTTTAATACTACTTCATAGTTGAAATTTATCCAACACTTCAACTATTCCACTGTAAGTACTAATAGCTTTTTCATCATCTAGTTTTAAAATGTTTCACCTCATTTTCTGCATTTTTTAAAGCCAAGAATTGATACTCTTTCTCTGACATTCTTTCACTCAATTCTCATTTTTTAAATTACTTATCATGTGCTTTTCTATTTTTTGAGCTGCTGACATTGTAGCTCTATAAACCCCAGATTTAGATGGGGCTTGTACATTGACACCAAATTCAGATAAATTTTTGCAAACTTCTGCTGATTTTTTAATACTTAGTTTTGACTTCTTAACTAAATTAACAGCCACAATGGTGTTTTCATATTTTCTCTTAACTTTTTTGTCCCGAGGAATATAATTAGAATCTTGTTCATCATTTTGTTCATGGCCTTCTTCATTGTTGTCATTGACCTCTTCTGTATCTGTTTTAGGTATGCTTGGTATCTTCCAGCCAGACTTAGATGGATGTACTTTTACAGTTTTTGATGTACAATAACCAACTTGACCATTAGTATCCACTTCTAAAAAATAAAATGCTTTGTCTTTGTTGCTAAGCCAGTTACCATTTATTTTAGTTATATCAAATAAATAATTCCACTTTTCTTCAAAACATTGTTTAGATTTTTGAACTGAATGATATTTGTTAATGAGAATTTCCACTTTTTTTGTTATAGTCCTTTCATTTATTTTTGGTAAACTAAACTTGAGCCATAAATAAGCAGATAAGTAACAATTTATTTTGACAAAAATAAACAAGATACAATTTAAAAGTTGTTTTGCAGAAGAAATCTGTAGTTCATTATGTCTATATCTCTTGCATAAATTTCTTGCATAACTTTTATGGCTCTTTCAGCACAAATATTGGATCTCTGAATTCCTTGTATTTTTCTGGGCACCTGTGACTAAAATCTTTTCAAGGTCTTCATGGCTGAAGTTGAAGTTATGGTTTGTTTTAAATTTTTATCATTGTTGTCATTGACCTCTTCTGTATCTGTTTCAGGTATGCTAGGTATCTTCCAGCCAGCCTTAGATGGATGTACTTTTACAGTTTTTGATGTACAATAACCAACTTGACCATTAGTATCCGCTTGTAAAAAATAAAATGCTTTGTCTTTGTTGTTAAGCCAGTTACTATTTATTTTAGTTATATCAAATAAATAATTCCACTTTTCTTCAAAACATTGTTTAGATTTTTAAACTGAATGATATTTTTTAATGAGAATTTCTACTTTTTTTGTTATATGAGAATTATATTATATGAGAATTTCCACTTTTTTTGTTATAGTCCTTTCATTTATTTTTGGTAAACTAAGCTTAAGCCATAAATCAGATAATTCGCCCGATTAATAACTCGTTATAAAACACGAAATCTGGATAATTCCCGGTTTTATTTTTTTATTTGCCGTTATGTTTTTTTCATACGAACTATTTATTGAGCATAGCGTTAATTTTTTTTTTTTTTTTTTTTTTTTTTTTTAAGTTGATTAAGGTGCCCCAAGAAGTCCTTACGGTCTTATCACAGAGCACCACGGAAGAGCATTTAATGGGAAGTTCACGCCTCCTTCCCAACCGATGTCGCAAAACTTGCCCAGAGGTGGGGTTTGAACCTCGGATCTTACGTTTCTGAGGCAAGTGCGCTACCACTGCGCCAGGGCTGCTCGAATTAATTACCCATTATAAAACACAAAATCTAGCTTTTTGTTTTTTAAAAATATAAAGGGTATTTTTTTTTAATGTGTAGACAGTAAAGAAATGTTTAGAAATTCAATGATAAAGTACAAACCTTATAGCATTACAAAAATCGTTACCCAAAATAATCTGTGTAAAATGTATCCACTCTGTAAAATTCATTGTATTTCTTCAAAAACTCTTTCATTAATGTTAGTTTTCTTGTTCCCCATTGTTCATATTGTTGTTGAAGAAGCCCTTGACCACTTGTTAATGGTGTATCAGGTGAAGTGTCTTCTATAACAAAATAATCTCCTTTGCACATATAATGGTGAAAATGCTCCATTACACCAATAACATCAACGTGACAATCTTCGGATATTATCCATGGATGGGGGCAGGTCTAATAAATTGTAGCAACCATTATTATTAAAAATTAAAAACTGAAATTATAAATTAAAATTAAATTAAAAAAAATAAAAAAACTTATTGAAAATAAAAACCACTTATAATCGTTGTTTAGTTATCCTAATATATAGTTATCCAATTATGTTGGGATTAATGTTTACGTTTTATTTTTAATATGTAGTAAATTACTATAAAAAATTACGTTTTAATGATATGAAAGTAATAATTACACTGTTTAGTGTAAATATTATTAATTGTCAAGAAAGAGCTTTGTAAGTATAATACTTTGTGTGATAAAATAGGGTACGAAAAAACCTAAAACTTTTGTTACAAACATGTAAACGCAATAATGCAACAAGCTATTTTGGCTGTTACCAATATTCAATGGAATCGGTGAGCAAATTAATCGCCAATTACCAACGTATATATATGCAAGAAATATACATAAAAAGAAAAACTTTGAAGAACTAGCTTAGGGATCACCAAAAGAACCCGTTTATCTGTGTTACGCAAGAAATAAAAGTCAAAAAGATACATTAAGTGGGACACTTCTGAGCTCTCAACGAATTTGTGAATTACCACATCATATGCCAACGTTTGTCAAGAGAAACCGCATCGGTATAAAAAAAAAAAAATGCAAAAGTTTTTGATTATAGTAAAACATACCGTCAAATCCAAGTTGAAAAAATGCTTTAGTTATTTCAAACGGTTATTATAAATGGGAAAAGGTATTGTTTTACCAGAACTTTAGTTTAATTGCGCTTTGGCCTCAAAGCGGCTCTCACAATAATGACCACAATTCTTCGTTATGTACTTAATGTAAACCCAATAGTGCGTTATGTACTTAATGCAAACCCAATAGTATGTATTCAATGCAAACCCTAAAAATAGTAAAAAAGCATGTGCTACTATTGACAAACTTGTTGATTAAAGTTAAGAAACAGAAAAAGGTGTTGCAAAGTATCAGCATAAATTTAGATTTCAATGTAAACTTCCAAAAGATCTTGAAAAAATGTAGAAAACTTCTTTCAAAGGGTTTTAAAAATTGAAAGTGGTAAAGAAAAAAAATAGTGAACTGATATTGAAGGGGAACAACGTAGAATTTAAATCTGCTTATGCAATCACACAATCATAGTTCTTCAGTCAGTTAGATAAATTCATTTGACATCCGGCGGCAATAAATTTACATTTACAAGCTGCTTACATCAAACACTTTGCTGGAAAAATTCATTGTTATAGTTGTATTTTCAAAAAATTACATAGAAAAATTAAAAAAACTGCTTTACCAGTTAGAATAGAGGACTTGGCTAGTGTCACGAAATAAAAAAGTTGTGCATTACTGTGATGTCAATAAGATCTTGTAACTTTAGTTGTTAGAAAGCTCGATAAATTTTTTGCATTTCTTGAACCAATGTGTTTTCTTACGGACGACAAATTTCAATCCATCACTTTAACAAGTTTTGTTGAAGAATTTAAACCTGAAATATTAAGCAGTTTCTTGAGCTCTGTAGTTAAACGCTTACTCAGAACAATTAAGAGAACAGTCACCCGTTCACATTGTTTAATCAAGAAAGAGAACAGTCGCCCGTTCACATTGTTCAATCAATTATAAGAGTCTTGAAAATAGGGCTGAAAGTCCATATCAGCTAAAAAAACAAGTATTTTGAACGAATAAAGTAAGCAAGAAATTCAAGGAGGGTGATCGTGAATGGGTAAAACAAACCTAGGTGTGAACCCCAGGCGTATTAGGAAAGCAAAATATCTTGTCTTTTGACGTAAAAACTGCATGTTGTGTATATCCTCGAACTCCAGAATAATGATAAAATGCACATCGTGTATATCCACGTACTTCCAAATAATAAAACCTCCCAAAAGTTAGATTTATGAACAATTCACTCGAAGAGGATTTACTAATGTAAATTTGATAGAATAATATTGAACATATTAGTTGTCACGTAGAAACAAGTTAGTTTTCACATATTAAATTATGCTTTTCTGTTAATGATTGTAACGTAGTTATTATATTCGTAAACATTTATAAATTTAATTTTATATTATAAATTTAATGTTATAAAGAGGTTTAAGATATTTTTTTGTATATATAATGTTTGTGTGATAAAATAAAGAACGTAAAAAACCTCAAACAGTTGTTATATAGTTATAAACGCAATAATGCAACAATCATTACATAGTGTAATAATCAAATATATATTAATAGGAAGTATAACAAAAATATTAAGTCTTTAATTAAGAAAAAAATGCCTTTAAAAATTCTCCTGAGAATACTTGGTTGATCTTTTTAACATCTATTTTCTTTATACTAATATTTTTGCAAGTGTTTATTTGCGGGTCTACAAGATCCAAACTAATATCGATAGAGTATATTTGTACAGGAAGGTCGTACATTTTCATAACATCAGCCATCCATAGCGCACATGCTCCTGTGTACGTACCAGTTTCAAATATGGTTTTAGGTTTTATTTCCCAAAGAAGTTGTTCATAAATTGTCATATCGAATGTATCCTTCATCATGCTTATCCCTCGCCATCGAGTAGCGTATTTTCCTTAAAAAATTTAATAAAATATTTAAAAAAACCGCACAATATTTTTTTTAAGATTTTACTAATATAAAATCTAAAGAACTCAAAGATCAAAGTGTTTAACTAAAATTTCAATTTATTTAGATACCTCGTGATTTCGAAGGTCAAACTTGTTTCCAAATTGTTTTTTGACATTAAAGTTTTGAATAACTTAAATAAGTTAACTCGACTCCAGAATACTTGCATGTTTTCATTTTTAATCATTATATCAACTCAAAATATAAAAATTTGTAAAATACAAGAAACCTATTTTTACTGCCGATGGTAAGATGAAGTATTTAACAAGTAAACAACCAATAAACTTATGTAAGTTATGACTCAAGCAAAAACATTGTATTTTTTTACAAAGTTCTCCTCTATTATTATCTCTTTTTATGTGGTTTTGAAGGTGCTTTACTAAGTCCTTTTCACCTGCGGTGTTCTGTAGTACCTTACTGTAGTACCTTACTGTAGTACCTTACTGTAGTACCTTACTGTAGTACCTTACGGTCTTATTACAGAGCATCACAGAAAAACATTTAACTTGAAAGTTCACGTTTCTTACCAATGACAGTTATCTAGCCAGAACCGGCATCGAATTACGAACCGCTTGATTCCGAGACAGTGCTTCACTTTTTTGATGTTAAAAGCATTTCTTGTTTTGGCCATTTTTTTTTCAGACAACTCTTTTTTTTTTTGATTTCTTTATATCTTATTCAATATAAAACCGGCTGATTCAAGGCAGCAATCCTTTCAATAATTTTCAAAAACAAAGTAAAACTTTGTTTTAGCTTTGTTTTAAGTAAGAGCTCCCTACACAAATGATAAGTAAGAGCTCCTTAGACTACTAATACCTAAATAGTAAACGAATTGGGTGCTATTGTTTTCAGCACTATGTTTTAATTCAGTTCCAAGCAAACCCTGACTAAATTTTTGAGCGAATTTTCTTTCTTTCCGATCAATTGAATTTATAACAAAATATACTCTTACAGTCATATTTTTAGAACATTTTTATCTCTATTAATTTGCATACATTTTGAATCGCTTTTTTATATATAAGCAAGAATTTTTAAACAATCTTTATTTTTAAACATCTTTTATTTTAGACATCGTTTCCAAACGAATGTTATTTTTAAACACTCGGCGATTTTTTTTTTGATTGATTTTTTCGCACTTGCTATGATTTACGAGATTTTCGGATACGGATGGAACAAAAACAGTTTATTTTATTTTTACGCACCAAGTAATTAAATTTCTCCAAATAACGTATTAAAAAATTCAAAATGGTTTCTTAACCATCTTTTTACCGCTAAAATAACATACTATCAAACTCGTGGATAGACTTCATCCATGATGCATTTTATGATTTAAAAATTCACACATGGGTTCATAATGTGTATATCTAAAATTCCAATTTCTGATTACTGATGTCGTAAATATATATGTATTTCATTAAAAAACAGTGATTTTTATGTCTATTTTGCTTAAAACAACTATTTAACTGTAATTTAGACATATAATTGTAAACTGTAATTTGAGATCTAATTGAAATTTACAATTAAGAGAACTTTATATATGTAATAACATTGATAGTTAGGGAAACCATCATTTAGTCTATCCAGCTGATTATTTCCAGTTTTAGTACTAGTTTTTTAAATAAATTGAATTTCAATATCTATATAACTTATAAAGAGCAGATTTTATAAAAAAACATATGATATATATTTACACTTAAAAATACATAATATACAAAAATACATAAATTTATATCTATAGCCCTAATTCAATGATAAAGATGGTAACTTTTTGCAACCTTTCGTCAAAATTAAAAAAATTGCGGACGTTTTGGACCAAATTTCGTGTTTCTCAAAATAAAAACATGAGAATTTATAAGACAAAAAAATCGCCGTGACAACCGTCATTTTTATTAAATTAGTTTTATAAAAATAGTTAAAAGTTTGTCTTATAAAAGTAGTTAAAAATTAGTGTTATAAATATAAATTTTGTTAGGTATTTAATAAATAAGTACAATTTTACCTTTTGACACTTTTTTGATGAGCTCAATATCGAAAACACTTTTTTCTTCTCGATCATTTATCGGCATAAAACGATTCGGACTTGCTAATAAACAGTTGATTTCTTTATATATATCTATCATGCATTTTGAGTAATCAGTGACGTCTGTAATAAAACCTTTCTTTAAGTCTTCATTATTTGTTGCAGCCATGATGAAGCTTTTTAATTTAAAACATTGATAAAGAATATAAAAATATAGATCTATAAATATTTCGTAACCTAAGTTTTAAAAAATATAAAAAAAAATCAAATTAAGGTTACAAATAAAAGTATTTTGCGTATATTTATATAAGCTTCACTCTATTTTTTAAAACAAATATTTTTAATAATATAAGCTGCCTTCTTATTTCATAAAATGTTGAAGGTATTTATATTAGATGCAATCATTTTTTACATCGAAAGTTCTAAGAAATCCAGTTGAATATTATAGTAATGATTTTTTCAAGCTGAAAACAACAAACAAAGAAAGCTGTCGCATTCTGTATGACGAAACCAAAGTGCTCATAATCTGATGGATTTCATTTTTTTGCATTGAATGTTTTTTATGAATTGATTTTTATATGTGCTTGACATTATGCGTTTACGATTTTGGATTTTTTAAAAATATGTTATTTATCTTTAAACAACAACATTTTGTAAATTATATGTTTCTGGAGAATTTTGTAGAATAAAAACAAATATTTTTTATTGACATTAAACATTTTATTGCTGAAAATAAAATCTTACAGGAAATTTCCTATTGTTATTTTCTTTGAGAAAATTACTTATTTCTTATTAATGATATTGGTTTTTTTATTAAATTTTTCTATTTATTTTTTAAAATTCTTTTGATTGCAATTTTTACATACTTATTTAGTGAAAACGTTTTTTTTTTTGATATTTGCTATTATTTAAAGAGGGTTAAAAGTTACCCAACATTTTTGAGGGTTAAAAGTTACTCAACATTTTTTTATACTTCCAAACATGACAAAAGTAAATAAAAAAAGGGAAATAAATAAAAGTAAAAAAAATTTCCGAAGATTTTTATGTCTTCAGTTGTCTCTAGGGTTCCAAAGTTACTAAAAATAAAGATATTTTTTTTACAAAAGTTACCTGCTTTAGTAAAGCAGGTAATTTTAGTAGTTTAGTCTTTTTTTTTTTTTTTAATCTAAGATTAAGAAAAGTTTAGAAAAGTTTAGAAAAGTTCATTAAACAATGTTTTGTTGAAAAAATTGTTTGATCAAAAAAATGAGAAACGAAAACCACTTTCAAAATAAATTACTTATAAATTAATTATTATTAAAAAAAAAAAAAACAATATTTTAATCATTAAAATCAAAAATAATATTTTAAACAAAAAAGTTATGGAAATACAAACGAGTCTCAAAAGCTACTAGAATTTCTATATGTACTGTTGAAGAGGTTATAAAATGATATAAGAAGACTTTATCCATCAAATGAGCTTTTCATTTTTCTTCCTAATCCTAGAGGCCGGTAACAAAAACGTAATATAAAGTTTAAATTTGAGGGGGTTGCAAATTTTAGAGACGTTAATTTAATTAGTTTTAGAACGTTAACAGATTATTGTATGAAATTTAAAATTTATCAATGAGTATAAATTTAATTTTAAAAAAATGTATCACTTTGTTGCTCTCACATTTGGGACAGCTGTGGCTGGAATTCTCGGGATTTTTTGTTCTCAAAAAAAAAGGTACCTTCACCTCAATTTTTTTGCAAAGTATCCTTAATTGACATAAGTACAAACAAATAAAGTAATGTTTGAAGTTTGTTCCGTTGTTCCATCTCAAACGTCAAAGTATGCTGCATCTGCTTTTGATATAAAATTTTATTTTGTTGAATTGACCATGGTTTATAACAGAATTAATTGATTGATTAATATATTAACAGCACATTAGCGTAATAGTATATTTTGTATATAGTGCCATATTGGTTAAAATTCACTGTTTTTAGAATTGGTTTTTTGGTATTTCATTGAGGTTTTAGATATTGCTTTTTAAATGTTAGAATACAAGAAATAAATTAACTATTCATGTTTGATTACGCTAGGTTTGTGAATTAATATCATCGTCATCATCGTTATCATCATCATCATCATCATCATCATCATCATCATCATCATCATCATCATCATCATCATCATTATCAATCACCCTCACTGTTTTGGCATTATTTACCTATACTATCATTGTCCTCATTATCATCATCATAATTTTAAGTCCTTTTTTGTGATTTTGAAACAGCTAGGTTAGGGTTACTATTAATCTGTTATAGTATTCTACTAATGTCTATCAATATTTTTTAATATTTAAGTTTGTTTATGCTGTGTTGGATGTTTATTATTATCTGGATCACCGACTTACTTGACAATAGATTTGATTACAAACTTCATTGCTAGTAATAATACTGACGCTCAAAAGGTTTAATAGTTTTGATAGAACTGCCATTAACTCTGGTAACAAGGGTGACGTAATTAAGTTTATTGAAAGAAAATATAAAAAATTACTGCAATATCTGATTTGCCTTTTGCATACATGCCAACTATCTCTTTAATTTCTATTGATTTATTCGGATGGATTGACCAAAGAATTGAAAGCTTTTTTAGAGCCAATTGGCTCTTGTAAACTGTGGAACATTAAAAGCTGTTACATTCAAAAAGATTTATTTATATCTGCCAAAGGCTATGTTTAAAGATCTGAATACAGATTAAAAGCATCAATTTGAAATGTGCAAAAAAATCAATCAAAAGTGTCGATTAGAAATGTGCAAAGCAATCAATCAAAAGGTGGCTGTTAATTAGCTCTGTTAGAGAAAACTTCACGATGATTAAATTATTCTTTATTAAATTACTAATTATTGATAGCTGACTAAGGCAACTTTTTTGGCTGTATATAGCAGGCTAGGAAGCTTTAATGAAGCTGAAACATTTAGTAACCTTTGTTATAACAGTTTTTTTTGTCTATTTAGTTTAGTATTAAGATACGTCCAAAAATGGTGAGGACTACTTATCAATAGAAAATACGTCCCTCATCCAAAGATGGTGAGGACTACTTGTCAACATAATCGTTAGATACGATAAATCCTGTGTTATAATAAAAGTGATTTTGCCTATCAAGAGACTCTTTTGATTTTGTCCATCAAGAAAATCTCTTGCTAACATTAATTAGCGACAAACACCAGTACATCCGTAAGTAAGGATTGCGGCGCATCCTTTGAGCGCAACTAGAAAAAAAACATACACCGCGTACGTTTAATGTTCCAAAACTTAGATGTACATTACTAATCGTTAACTGAAAATAAAAATAAAAAACTGATCAACAACTGATGAGAAATTATTAGGACAAACAATGGACAATATTTGAGCTTGAAAGCTCCTTGCCAATCTCAATTAGCGGGATAGTGTGTCAAGTTAACGAATGAGACTTCGCTCGAGTTGTTCTGTGAAGAACAACAACAAGATTTATTCGATTGATTTTACGTGCACACCTTGTAATGCCAGTGTTTAACATTAAGTCAAACATCGTGCTCCGGAATAAACACAGTATTAGAATGTAATGAAAGGCTTTCTAAAACTGGATAGTGAATATAGTAATAATTAATGCAAAAAAATTTCACTGCGTCGTTTAATGAGATGTAATAATATTTAATGATAATATATAATAGTAATATTTAATGAGACTTAATAATTAAAAATAATTTCTTAATTGTAATTAAGACAAATTGTTTATATTGTTTTTATCTTATCGTTCTAAATAAACGTTTAAAATAGTTGTTTACTTTGTCATCATTGTGAAGCTGAATAAAAAACAAATTTCGTGCTCAAATAGCTGGCAGAAAAAAAAGTTACTAATTTTTCACTGATTTCGTTTCTCGTTTAATACGGAAACTGGTTAAAAAGTTCATAGTTTCATTAAATATGAACATGTTGTAATAACCTATATGCCATGATTTTCAGTCAAATAGGTTATAAAAGAGCATTCTACTTGTTGATACAAAACTATGCATGAAACAAGTCATAACGAAACATGATAATAAAGGCATGAAATAAGACTGAAACGAAGAACTTGTGATTAATTAGTGCGAGATTAAACTTCCGGCTTTGTATAAATTTCATCGAACCTTTTTTCTATGCTTTGTCTTTTTAGTTTGAAATTTTTATAGTTTGAAATCTTATTATTGGAATTTCATGTAATTATATGTGATTTTTTCCATTACAAACCTTAACATTATTATTATTTTTTTACCAGATTTATACCTTGGCCTTATAAACTTCATATTTTTTAAATATACTTTTTCTAGGTTTTCTCATATAGGGTAGAGCGGGTCATATACACTTGATATAAAAGACAAGAAAGATTTTACATATATTGCTTGTGAGTGGGGCATTACGGGGGAGCTAAAGACCAACAATCATTCTTAATCGTAAAGCTTTAAAAATGATAAAAATGCAGGCTATCTATCATTTAAACATATTTAGACATTAAAATCTCAAAAAGGTAGCATATCTACACGCCCACACACCTATACACCACAAAAACGAAATAACAACTAAAATAAAGAAAATTTTCGCGTTTTGTTATAAAGTCCTCTTAAGGTGGTTATATGGTAAAAACTTCTCTTAAAAAAAAAGTCCTCTTAAACGAACAAACTTAAAGAAATATTCTAAAAATTAGGTAGGACAAAACTAATATATATTATTAAATTAGTCACAACTACTAAATTTAAAATTAAACAAAAATATTATGAATTACATAAATCATCCAAAAAATATCCTGAAACTGTTTGGCAACAATTTAGATAAGCTGGCTTTTTAGCAATATGTCAATGTAAAGCAGATTTAGGTACGCCATATATATCAGCAGCATTTCTAAGCTACATATCAGAGCCGTAACCACAATTTACATATTAGGGGGGTCCATATTACATATTAAACTTTTTTTAAAAAAAAAGGTCTTTAATTTAAAGACCTTTTTTTTTTTTTAGGTACCCATTTTTTTAGGTTCCCAGGAAATAAAATATTTGTTAAAAATATAAGTTTTTCCCTAATAATTATAGTTTAATATTTATTTTTTATTTATTTTTTTTTGGGGGGGGGGCTAGGCCCCTTAGCCCCCTGGTTGTTACGGCTCTGCATATCTGCATATCACTCAAATTCACTCAAATTTTCGACAATTAGTCTTATGTAATTTCTTACCATCGTAATTTACATTTAACAATTAAAGTTATAAAAATAACAATTTCTTTAAGTTTATTACTAATAATGCTTTTCTAAATAAGGAAAATAATATTCTAGATTAAAAATAAAATCATCAAATTTTAAACAGCATCATATAATGGTAATAATATAGTCAATTATATAATTAACTTATTGTCCCACAAAAGTCATTTTACTGAAACTAATGCTATTCAAAAAGTTCATTACCAGATTTTTTTAAAACCACATTCTAAAAGAGGATAAAAAAATATTATTTGAAAAATATAAATTTTTTATAAATTAAATGAATTAGCAGTAATGCAAAATGAATCTTTTGTCGTTGTATCACTTAAAAAAATACGAAAATTTTTGTTTTTTGAAAACTTAATGATGCATTTTGGCACATTTAACGCGTTTTGGTACTTCTGAAAAAAAAAAAATTTTAATAATGAAACACAATCATTAAAATATCTCATCAAAACTAAAAATATTTCATCAAAAAAAATTTTAGAAAAAAAAAAATTTTAGCTAAGATATAAGGTTTCAGGCATAACTGTCCCACTGTCCCAATTAGTCCTGCTCTACCCTATTTAGCAGCTGTTATTCTTACATTTAAATAAACCTTCACAATTTAGTTTTAGCCCATTTGCTTTGTTAGCACATGTACTTTGAGTTTTCCGTGGGTTCAATAGTTTTGAGTTTTTATTGTGCGACTGTTGTTTATATATTATTATTACTTATATAACTCCACGCTTTGTGTTTTTATTTTGTTCTGAACATCTGTTCAACATATCTTTATTTTATTATCCTATCTTTTTTATTTATTTTATTATCCAATCACTCTTCTTAATTTATTCCTTACTTCACATGGGTTAGACGGCTCGGTCTAGTACTTTACTGCAAATAATTGCATTTTTAAATTATAAAAGTATATAGTTTATTGCATGACGTTTTTAAATATATAAATGAATTAAATTCATATGGTATTTTGAAAAAGAATCATATAGGAAAACTATTTTATTTATCCAAATTTTCCTCATATAAACATTTCACTAAATTTACTAAAAACAAGATTAAAAGATCAAAAAAAAAAATTTCTTTTTCTTTTTGCTGTAAATTACTTAGTTTCGGCATTTTTTCTTTTGAATATATTTATTAAAAAGTCAACTAAATAGCTCTAACGGTATTTATTATAATATTGTTGAACTTTTTTACTTTTAGTTGATTTTATAGAAGCTTTTTACAGTGCACAAAAAAAGAAGAACTATGAGTGGGGAAAAAAAATAAGAATACAAAATAACTTATCATAATGGAGCCATTATTAATCATATTAATTTTTATTATAGGTAATATATTTGATATAAATTTTATTGGGTAATTTTGTTATTACTTTTTTATCATAATAATAATAATAAAAAAAAAAAAAAAGTATCAACAATATTTAAGAAATGAATGAAAAAATAACGAAAGCAAATAACTAAAACAAATGTAATTAAATAAAAAAAAATACAGTAAGAAATTAAAAACTACGTTATAAATTAAATATTATATATAAGATATGGTTAAAAGATTTCGCTTAAAAATCTGTTTAAAAAAGACGTCGTCTAAAAAGTCGACTTAAATACACTTGGTATTTTATTTTTCTTTGATTTTATTACGTTTATTTGTTAGATGTGGCACAGAAAATAAAATCCACAAAAAATTGAAATACTTATGGAAAAAAAATGTCTTGAAATAAAAATAAAAATTCTACGCGACAATTGAAAGTAGTAAATTAACAGAGCAAAAATTCACCTTTTTTATATCAGAGCAATGATTTTAACCATGTTGTGTTTTAGTGACATGAGAGCAATGATTTTAACCATGTTGTGTTTTAGTGACATGAGAGCAATGATTTTAACCATGTTGTGTTTTAGTGACATGAGAGCAATGATTTTAACCATGTTGTGTTTTAGTGACATGAGAGCAATGATTTTAACCATGTTGTGTTTTAGTGACATGAGAGCAATGATTTTAACCATGTTGTGTTTTAGTGACATGAGAGCAATGATTTTAACCATGTTGTGTTTTAGTGACATGAGAGCAATGATTTTAACCATGTTGTGTTTTAGTGACATGAGAGCAATGATTTTAACCATGTTGTGTTTTAGTGACATGAGAGCAATGATTTTAACCATGTTGTGTTTTAGTGACATGAGAGCAATGATTTTAACCATGTTGTGTTTTAGTGACATGAGAGCAATGATTTTAACCATGTTGTGTTTTAGTGACATGAGAGCAATAATTTTAACCATGTTTTATTTTAGTGACATGAGAGCAATGATTTACTTTACTTAAAACTTACTATTTTACTAAACTAATAAGTCACTAATTATATTAAAAAAGTCACTAATTTTTAAAACATATTTTTTAGTGTAAACATAAATAAAGTTTAACGCCTAAAATTTTGCTTAACAAAACAAAAAGTCCGACAAAAAAGTCCGTCTAAATATTCCATATAAAATGTTGTGTTAATAGGTCGTTTTAAAGAATTATGGTATGCAATTTTTATTTAGTTTCATATTTATCTGTCAATTTATTCTAACTTAATACAAGAACATTTTAACTTTACTTTTGAATAGGGAACGGTATATGTTTACAAGTCACATCGATAAACTTAAACAATCATTCAATTGAAATAAACGCCTCCCGAATTTTTCCTAACGAGTTTACACATATAGAAAAAGATAAAGTGAAAGAAGGTTCGTCTCGTTCAGAAAGATACAAAATGCAAAATGGTCTTATACTTCTTCATGCTCAAAGACCGCACACAGTTTCTGATGTAAAGAAATCTCAATTGACCGATAATTCTCAGAGTATTAATTACCACGTTCGCAAAAAAGAACAAAATAACGAAACGGTATTTAAAATATTAGAATTTAATCGATTCGGAGTTAATATAACTATTAAGAAAAATGATTTTATACAAATAAACAATAATTTATTAAAACACATTTCAAAGAATGATACGAATATTTTTCAATTGGCTAACAGCACAGAAAACTGTTTAAACTTAACTGAAGGTAATAAAAGTTTAGTTTGGGAAAGTGATCAAAGTATAAAAAATGATAAAATTCAAAGACAAAATACAATTACTCAACAAATAGTAAAACTAAACAACGCTATAGAAGATGCGAAACCAAATGCTCGAATAAAAAGAGGTTTTCGAAAAGTTATACGAAAAATATTTCACAGGAATATTGACTCGATCATATGACGATTCTTTATATGAAACAAGAGTTTTATAGTAGAAAAAAAATATAGTATATGAAAAAATTTACTTTTCAAAATTAAAGCACATCTTTTGTTATTTTAAAGACTTTCCTTTCCCGTTTATTTGCATTTGGGAAACAGTATAAAGATTTTTATGCTGGACAATATTTTTTAGCTTTTGCTGGATTTTATTGACTTCACTATTCCAAATAATTCAAAATATTAATTTTTACTATTATTGTTAACAGAACTGTAAAACCGTAGTTTTTTTCTTCATTTTTGTTTTTATAAAAAATCTGTTTGTTTTTTTTTAATAAAAAATGTAGCGCTATCTTTTACAGCATTCTAAAAAAAAGGTTTTTAAATCCGGGTAGTTGATTTAGAATTAAGTTCTAAAGCCTCAAAAAAAAATAATAATAAGAATTATAGCAATTATACCCCACCTTGAGATAAGTTAGTGCAAACTATAAAATTAGTTATCAATGTGTTTAAAGCCGGCGCGATGGAGGGTGTGTGTGTGACACCCCCACCCCCATCCCCATTAATGATTTTTTGTTAATTTAGTTGGCAAGTTTGACCCTTTTAGACAAGTCAGTCGGCAAATTTAGACAGTCAGCCGGGAAATGTCATCAAAACAGTCGGCAAAGTTCAAAAAACGAGGACTTTTTTTTTTTAAGTCGGCAAAATTGTAATGGCACCCTTCCACGTGACACCTACTTGCACCGACCCTGAATGTGTTAAGTGCAAAATTTAAAGAAATTTTTTCACTATTTATTTTGGCAAAAACGGAGATGGAGATAACAGAAACTATAATCTACAGAAGATAAAGGTAGAAATGGGAATTGATGTCAATGTCTCTACATCATGGCGAAGGTAAAAAAAGTTGAATTATACATATACGCAATACTGCAGAGATAAAAGAAAAACATATATTTCATGGTATTTAAACTTGAAATTGCAACAACGTTACAGAAATATTATTTATACTGATGAAAGTCTCTTCAATCTTCATATAATATGAAAACACGGATACAGTCACCGAGGAATGACCCCAAATCAAAGTGATTTGGGGTCAAAAGCAATTTCAAGTTTAAATACCATGAAAATATATGTTTTTCTTTTAATAAACAAGTTTAAATACCATGAAAATATATGTTTTTCTTTTAATAAATCTATACATAACCATGATATTAGCATTAAATTGTTTAAACATAGTCCACTGTGAAGCAATAATTGGCGTAGGGGTGACAGCAAATATCTTTAAAGGGTTCTTAAATACACTTAAAAGTATTTTGGGGAAGAAAGAAGAGTTTACCTTGGTGATGGAGAACGTTAACTTTCATCATTCATTATCAGATTTTTATGATAGTTATCCATGTGATATTTGTTTTTTACCCCGATACTCATCTTTTCTAAATCCTTTTGAAGAGACATTCTCGAAAATTAAGAATACTTAAGAATACTACAAGAGGAAAAATAGCTCCGATTATTAGAACAAATGAAGAACGGTTGTGAGCACATTACTGAACATGATCTTTCAAACTTCGTGAGACACTGCGAATCTTTTCTTACGCAATGTGTTAATATTATTATTATTATGATTACTAAATGCAATTGAATTATACTTTTTCTAAATTTATTTTTAACTGAAATATGTAGAATATTTTTTATTACTAATCATTTAAACGATTCATAACATGCATTATAAAACTGATATAAATTTTAAAACCACCAGATTGAATGCAAAAAAAACCCAGCATTAAATGCAAAAAACCACCCGATTAAATGCAAAAACCGGTAATATATCATTTGAGATTTTGATCGAAGCCACTTCCTCCTAATCTAATAAATTAAGTATTTGCTTATTTTTTCAAAATACTAAATAATATTTGACTGTTACAATCCATGTTCCCCATCTTGCACTGATAAGCGCGCTCACCTCAGAAGCTAGAGATCCACAATTCAACGCCACCTCTGGGCAAGTTTTATAACATCGTTAAGGAAGGAGGCGTGAACTTCCTTTCAAATACTCTTCCGATGTGCTCTGTAATAAAACCGTAAGGATTTTTTTGGTCACCTAAAATAAGTAAAAAATGACAATAATAAAAAAATCCCAATATCTTTCACGCACATGCACGAATCCTTACAATATCACAGTGAAAGATGAAATGATTAACTAGGAAAGTTCCTAATTAACCATTTAATAAAATTTAACGAATTGATACTTTTCGGCAAGTATCAAATATTCATCGAAAAATATAACGAAGCAACATCACTATACATCCCTTCAACAACTATCTCTAATTTTTTGAAGCGCAAATGTGGGTAACCAAATGGATGTGTGTCACAAATGCAATTAAAGTGAAGAGAAAACTCTGGAGCAAATATCGCAGCTGTTTGCACAATCGCCTCTATCTAATGCGTAATAGAATCTTTCAGACACAGCAGTTAGCAAGCCGTTGAATTATGTTCTGATTCAGAGATTATTAGACTAAAGATAGGATGTTAGAAATTTGTTGATTAAAGATGCAAAAACCATGCTAATCATAGGGCGAAGACTGACAGGACAATAGTTGAAGGGGTCATAATGTTTTCCAGATTTTTAAAAAATTGAAACACAGATGTTATTTTCATGCATACAGGAAACCAATCAAGGAAAATAAAATAAAAAATAGGTACAGAAAATAAAAAGTAAGTTGAGTTTACATTTTAAAATAAAATTGAGTTTTAGAGCTGCACCCTTATAAGAAGATAAGAGTTCCATAGCCACCATCAAGGGTAATGAAAATCAAAGCGAAAAATTAAATGTAAAATCAAGAATCATAAAAAAAATCCAAAAACTTTAAGGAAAGAATCCTAGAAAAAAAAAAGTAACGAAAGTTGAATGCAAAAACGAAAAAAATATTTACTTATCTATGGAGACAATTGCTTTCACACAAAACAGATTCAGAGTAATTAAAAAATGATTAACAAAAAATAAAAAATATATTTTAAAATTGGTAAAGGAAAAGAAATTGTTTATTAAGATTTTTCAACTAACTATTTAACGTTAATACCAAAGATCTTGTTAATAAAATAACTTTAAATAACGTTTCAAGAAGGTCACGATATAAATATTCAAAAGGTTATAATATCAACAGTGAATAATCCAACGGGAGGGATACATCCTATGCATCGCCTCCCCGCCTCCTCCCACAAGAATTTATAAAAAAAAATTAATACGAAGATTCAAAATTTACTCTTAAAACTCGATAAGGCCTTGAATAAATTGTATTTATATGCGCTCTTTATATAATAATTTTATAAGAATTACTTAAAAGTTTCATTCATTTTTGTTCACTTTGATGTAATCGTACAAAAATGATACCATAGTATTGCATATAACTTTTTTACTCTCTTTTCTTTTTTTTCATTTGCGCACTTTTTTTTGAGGTAAAAACTTTAAAAATTTCCAAGAGGCAAGTTTAAATTTTATATATATATATATATATATATATATATATATATATATATATATATATATATATATATATATATATATATATATATATATATATATATATAAATTTATTGCATTTAAACTAGAAGCACAACTTCAATTGCATGAAAAATTGGCAATTTTTGCAATATATCTTAAACACCCTAAAACCACTAACACCCTTTTTCTAAAAATTAAAAAATTGTATAGGTTTAAAAGTTTAAAAATATGTTATCGCAATATGAAAAAATGTGACCCAACCATTTCTTCGCATAGATCCTATGGATCAATAAAATCAGATGCTAGAAAGATGGTAGTTTTAGCAACTGATACAACTGCTTGTTTACTTCTTAACTAAGTTAATTTAATTCCGCTGTTGCAGAGTCGGGTATTTGATTGATTTAGGCGGCCAAAAATATTTAATAATCTTTGATTAAAAAAGTTTAACTTTTTTTAGGAAAAGCTGGTAGAGAAGCCAAATAAAAAGAGAAAATAAAAGATTTTAAAAAAATTTATGGAAGATAGACTACCCCCCCCCCCCTCTCCATAGCTTTTTTTTTTTTACAAATTACTAAATCATAAAACGGATAAGAACCTATTTTATATGGTTCTTATCCTTTAACGATAAGATCGATACGGATAAGAACCATATAAAATAGGTTCATGATATAAACTTATTATATATGGTGGATAACTTTCTCCCTCTAACTTTCACTCGGAATTGAAAGTCAAAACATCGCGATTTGCGTTATCTTAATGTATTCAGAAGCACTTGCAATTACTATGTAACTCTTATTAAACTATGGTATATATTAAAAAAAAAACTTTACAACTATTTATATTTTAACTCAAAATAACTACTATTAAAAGGATGCCGAAAGCTAAAGTTCTTCATTAGAAGACATTCTGGATTGCTCTGAAGACATCCCTGATTGCTCTGAAGATTTCTCCTCTGTATCAACAAGATCAGTAAAATTAGAAAGTTCAGCTGGAAGTAGCATCTCCAAGCTTTCTTTTAAGAATGGTTTAGTATTTTTTCTTGGTAATTTTCTCATGCCAGGTAAAATAGGATCTGAACTAATTAGTAATCTGTTAAAAACGTCGAGGTTGCAAGACTCTCTGGAAAACTTTCTAGCATTGTTTTGACGGTAAAGACGAAAACATTTATTTCGCGATTCTGCTGCTTCTTCAGATAACTGACCATTAGGAAGCAAACCATACTCTATTACAATAAAACCATGAATAAAGGGATTTCATGCATTGTAGGGGTCATCGGATACCATTTGGTAAAACTGGATATATAATCCCTCAATTTTTACAGTATATCTTCTTAATTTTTGACATCTATTTTATGTTCACTAGATATTGTTTCTAATATTACTTTAAGGCGATATATTAGGTTATAATCTATACACAATATTTCAGCTGCCAACTTTGGGTCTGCAAAAAATTGTCAGCTAGTGTTGCCATCATTTGAATTACCAAATCCAGGCTTAGGTACGTCTACAATTAAACCTATTTTTTTTCTAAAATTTGATTGTACTTCTAGTTTTTTTTGTTTGACAATTAATTTTTGATTTTCTGATCTCGCTTGCCATTTTTTA